CTAATCCAATCATCATTTAATCTTTTAGCAACGGATGGGTAAGTTCCTTCCAAGATGTCAGCATTGGTGAAGTCATCTGTTGTTATGAAACCAATGTCAAATGCATCATACTGCAGTACATTAATAGCAACCATCATCAAGAAAAGATCTTAAGTGGCTACTAACAAAGAGAGTAACGATGTACTAGAGAAAATAATCCAAAAGAATCTGAAGAAAGAAAATAATGTCAAATGCATATTTTCAAAAGATGGAGTATACATACTTGGCGTGCCTTAACACCAATATTATTTAGATAAGCTGCAAAGATCCTTGTGGACATGCACTCTCCGAATGAAACTAGATAGTCTCTTGTGCGGAGAGTTAACTCTTTCATCATAGCTATTCCCTTCAGCAGTTGCTCTAGTTCTTCCAAGTGTGCTGCAACATGTCCCAGGGAAAAAAAGGGCAAATACCCAAAGTTTCCAATTAACAACTGATACCTTATTAATAAAATTAAAACAATTCAACACACCAAATGAGGAAATTCAGACATAAAAAAAAATATATATATTCATCCTTTCACTTAAAGTTCTTACCAGAAATAACGGAGCTATCAATTCCAAGTTCTCTAACAGTCCTGAGCAAATGCAATCACACAGTTTTTAACAACAGCTCTAAGGCACAATTGAAAAAGAAAATGAGAAAGAAAAAGGAAAATGATGAGTTAACCTGAGATGCAGTTGTTTTATAAAGCTCAATTCTTCAATTTCTGACGCATTCGAGACCCCACAACTGACAGCCTTCTCCCCAGCCTATGCATACATTATACATAAATCACAGCCATTCAATCGCATTATAATTAAGCAATCAAATCACACAATTAAATAACTTAATTAGATAATAATGAAAAGTTCATTACAAGTAAGAGGTTGTTAGTGGTCTTCCCCATGGCAGAGAGCACAACAACAGGCTTTTCATCAGGAAAACTGACAATGAGTTGAGCAATCTCTCTTATCCTCTCCGCCGATGCCAACGACGATCCTCCGAACTTCATCACGCACGTGAATGGTGCTGCATCAGAGCCATGGCTCTCTGTTGCTTCCTCTTCTTCTTCTTCTTCTTCTTCTCCTCTAAGCACAGCTTCAATTCTTTTCTTCTCGCTGTTACCTCTCAAGCTACTGCCTTTACATGCATTTTCCATTGCCGCATGGAATGATCGTGATGGTGAGGCCACTGAAGAGAGCCATGGCTTGCTCGACAAGTGTGAGAGTCTTGGAGTTCGTGAGTAGCAGGGAATTCTAACCCCGTGGAAATGCAATGCAGCCTCCATTTGCTTTTATGACTCTGTACCGGAGTTGCTTCGACGAATTACCAAATTCAGGGTTTCTGGTTTATTGGATTTTCATTTGTTTTCCAGACTCTTCCAGGCAACCAAACGCGTGAGTGAAATTTCTGTATCGGGAACGAAGGGTAGGCAAAAGGGGAAAACGCCCATCATCCACTACCGCGTTTTTCGTTTACATCTTTTTACCCTAATGGATACGGTGTCGTTTGTTTGTCCTTACTTCTTATAGAAATGGAAAATTACCATTAAGCCTTCAAAAAGACTATCGACACTCAGACGGGTCTGCAACAAAGTTTGAACAAAGTAACGAAATCCTAAACTTGTGAAGTAGAGATTTTTTTGAATCAAAAGCTTAATTTTGAATGTCTTCTTCTTTGACAGTCCAATGTTCTTTGCTACCTTCCTGCGCTTTACATCATCATGATCAGACTCCATCTACAAAAGCTGCAAACTTTGCTCAAATTCCTTCGTGGGTCTCTCTCAAATTCACCGCTCCTTCGATCAATACCAGCCAAATAGAAAGTGGTCAAGTCGAAAATGTGCACTTGGTTTCTCTATCTAAGCAAGGGAAGCTCAAAGAAGCTCGTGACTTTCTCAAGCACATGAACGAAGCAGGTGTCTCCGTCAGTCCTCAATCTTATAAATGCCTCTTTGAAAAGTGTGGATTAATGGGTTCCTTATCAGATGGAAAATTTGTGCACGATTGGTTGCGAAAAACAATTAAGAGCCCACCTGAATTTCTTGAGAATGATGCTCTTCAGATGTATTGCGATTGTGGGAGTTTATCAGATGCACAGAAAATGTTTGATGAGATGCTTCACAAGAATTTGGTTTCTTGGGTTATAATTATATCCGCTTATGCGCAAAAGGGTATTTTGAAGAGAGCTATTTTGATGTTTTCGCATATGCTAGAGTCTGGGATTAGACCGAACTCCTCTATTTTTACGAGCCTCTTAAGGTCCTTGACTGAGCATTCGCTTTTAGAGCTTGGCAAACAGATACATTCTTATTTGATAAGAACAGGGATGAATAGTAATGTTTCGATTGACACGTCAATTGCAAACATGTATGTGAAGTGTGGATGGTTAGAGGGTGCTAAGCTGGTTTTTGATAGGATGGCTGACAAGAATGCTGTGGTTTGGACTGGGTTGATGGTGGGCTATACTGAAGATGAGAAACTGGAGGAGGTTCTAGAATTGTTTGCTGAGATGGTTAGGAAAAGTGTAGAAGTGGATGATTTTGTGTTTTCGATCATTCTTAAGGCATGTGCTGGTTTGGAGGACCTGATTATGGGAAGGCAAATCCATGGTTATAGTGTTAAACTTGGGTTGGATTCTGAGGTTTCTGTAGGAACTCCTCTAGTGGACCTCTATGTCAAATGTGCGAACTTTGAATCTGCTTGCCGAGCGTTTGAGAGAATACATGAACCAAATGATGTTTCATGGAGTGCTATAATCTCAGGCTACTGCCAGAGTGGGAAATTTGAGGAGTGTGTCAAGATTTTTCAGTCTTTAATTCGTAAAGGTGTTACTTTAAATTCATTCGTATATACGAGCATTTTTCAAGCGTGTCCTGCAATTGCAGATGTAAATTTGGGCACTCAAGTTCATGCTGATGCGATAAAAAGAGGGCTGGTTGCATTGTTGCATGGAGCCAGTGCAATGATTACGATGTACTCAAAATGTGGCAGATTGGACTTTGCCTATCGAGCATTTGAATCGATAGGTAAACCTGATACTGTGGCCTGGACTTCTATAATTAGCGGTTATGCTTATCACGGCAATGCCTCTGAAGCTCTTAGGCTTTTCCATAGAATGCAGGATTCTGGTGTAAGGCCAAATTCAGTAACGTTTATAGCAGTTTTAACTGCTTGCAGCCATTCAGGTTTGGTCACAGAAGGAAAGCAGTATTTGGATTCAATGAGCTGTGTATATGATGTAGAACCAACCATCGATCATTACGATTGTATGATTGATGTATACTCTCGTGCTGGGCTACTACAAGAGGCACTTGAACTAATAAAGGGTATGCCGTTTGAACCCGATGCAATGAGCTGGAAAAGTTTGTTGGGGGGATGTTGGATACATCGAAATCTCGAGGTCGGGAAGTTTGCAGCTGAGAACCTCCTCCAGTTGGACCCAGAGGATACTGCTAGTTACATAATCATGTTTAATTTGTATGCTTCATCTGGAAAATGGGAAGAAGCCGCAGTTTTTAGAAGAATGATGGCTGAAAGGAACTTGAGAAAAGAAATAGGATGCAGCTGGATCACTGTCAAGGGGGAAAAGCACCGGTTTATAGTGGGTGATCAACACCATCCTCAAATAGAGCAAATATACTCAAAACTGAAGGAGCTGAGCATTTCTTTCAGGGAGGCTGAAGATTCCCTTCTAACTGAAGAGGATGTATTGAATGGTTTTCCTGAGAGGAGAGAACAGCTTCTTGACCATAGTGAGAGACTTGCTATAGCTTTTGGGCTCATATCCACACCAAGTAATGTCCCAATTGTGGTTTTCAAGAACATCAGGGCCTGCAAAGATTGCCATGAATTTGCAAAACATGTTTCTGTGGTAACAGGGCGTGCAATTGTTGTGAGAGATTCTAGTAGATTTCATCACTTTGAGTTGGGGGAGTGTTCTTGTAGAGATTATTGGTAACTTCTGCAATCTCACTACCCAATGGAGATTTGGGCATGACACTTTTTTTCTGGAAGCCTAGGCCACAAGTGGGGCTGGTCTTCCTCTAGCCACCATTGCATGTGAGTACACACGTGTCTGTGTATGACAAGCTTGTTACTTACTGCTTCTTGCCATGTGTCTCATTCTGGTTGCTGCTGCATCAAAAGGAAGCCCAAGTCACCTCCAAGTGCATGGGGACGAACAGAAGCGATACCCAATAATACGGAGGATTGGTGCAGTCGGTGGTGATAATAGTAGGTTTTTTTTACTGCCTCTTGCAATAATTTAGTGGGGGCTAAAGTGACAATAAGTGTGTTGATCCTGTTGACACGTCTATGTATGAGAATCTCAAGATTTTGTGTGAAGAAACCACTGGCAAAGCGAGCGCAGCAAGAGATATTATTTCTTTCTGCTTTTTTTTAGTGGGTCTCTAAACCAGCATCACCATAGAAGAAAACCTTCATTTGACAAATGGACTGGACACTAAGGGAAAGTAAATATCTAGACACTTAAACATATATTAAGAATTCCAACTTCGCCAAAGTGTATTAGAATATGAGTTTTTAAAGTTGTTAAATATCAAGTTTTTATGACATTGAAAAATTAAAAAGGATGCACAAGAAACAGGATAATAATGGAGTTGGGATCCAGGAAATCTGCTTAGATCTAAAGAATTAAGAAACAGAAACAAACAAAAACCCACCTCCTATGATTGCATCATCATTCATCACTTGGATAATTTTTATGAAAAATAAACCATATACGAAAGAGAAAGAAACAAGGTACTTTTGATGGCAGTTGGCAATTTGCGGTTTGAGGGTAATGGTTTGGTACTTTATGGTATTATGGGTAATTGTTATTTTCAGTTGGCGCCAAATAAAATCTGGTGGTTTTGGACAAATCCTATCCACAAATCCACTCCTACTATGGCAACTCATGTATCAGCTAAGCCAGCCAATCCCTGTCATCTCTGCTGGTTTCTCTCCCCTCCTTAAATTAAATTCCCTCTTTCACCCACTCTCACTCCAACTAATTGTTTTCTTTCTGTTGCCTTCTGGGTTTCATCTCTCTTTCCATAACTCAAGTGAAAAAAAGCCTTTGCTTGCCTGCTTGCTTTCTTCTTCTCATTCTCAGGAAGATGGGCTTTTTTATGTGCAGCTTTTCTTGGTTGGCTTCATTTCTTTAAGGTGAGCAATACATTTGTATTCCTTTTTTCAAAGTCTGGTGCTTTTGATCTTCTCATGGTTTTCTGAATTCTGCATGTCTTGAAGATTTAATCAATTGCGTTTAACAATACTTGATTTTTTCGAAGTTTCAAACTTGCTTCTTGAACATCAAATAAATAAGAGAAGTGCTCCCACCCCTACAATTCAAGAATGTATGTGCTAGAGAACAGGGCAAAATCACAACATGACTGAGACAATCTCTGCACTATCTAACAAAACAGGGCAAATGATATTTGTTAGCACCATGAGGTGCATATGCCCTTTGTATTTTCATTATGTCACAAAAAATCTTCTGTGTTTCTAATAAAAGATGCAATTTTGTTTAGGAGCTTCCTGGATGCAATTTAAATTACATGATCTTCTATATCTTCAAAGTTTCAAACTTGCTTCTGGATAAAGCACCTTTGTTGAAGTAGTCTAAAGTTCATGGCTATTGGACAAACGAAATGTTCCTCGAGCTTTGGAAAGCCTCCATGGATATTCAAAGGCAGGTAAGTGTCCAACAACACTTAGGGGTTTTTTCGCATTTTGTTCCCAATCATGAAAAAGGACTCTGCTGACTGATTGCCCTGGTTTTTCTAATCAGTGCGTTGTATCAACTCCATCTTGTCAAGGCAGCAACTGTTCGTGCATGCATCCCAAAAGAGTTCAGATTAGTTGAAGCATTTGGGTTAGTATACTTAGTAACATTGTTGCTTAAATGATTGAGAGCGGTACAGGAGCATAATGTGAGAGCACTACATATTTAGTAATAAGACCTTGTCCATATATTTGCTTTCCCAACCTAAATAGATTTGTTGGTTTCTCATCACTTTTATATGTTGATCCAGATATTAGCCTCCCATAACGGGTTCATATGTTTCGTGGTGTTTTAAGAATTTGATTACCAAACATGTGTTTACACTTTGCAGGTATACTCTTGGTGGCTTCTTTCTTGCCAACTATGATGACAGTCCAGCTGGAGTCTTTGATGAGGTTCATATCTTCATACTTTTTTGGCCTTGATACAAAAAGTCAATATATCAGTTTTTTTCTCATTACCTGGTTTATTGTAGGAGTGATCCATGTTAGCTTTAGCAAAGATGTGGAAAAGAATAATTTTCAAGTTTATTCAACCAGTCACTAACTGGACTGCGTTTGTTTTCTCCCTCCCAGCTCGTTGTAATTGCTGGACTTGTATGGAGCCCACCAACATCTTGCGCGTATGTTTCCTTCAACCTTATCTTTCTTCATAATAAGATGAAGAGCATACAATCTTGTTAGGCAACAATACCCCAATTCCTAAACTATCTAAAGCAACAAAAACAAAGTTACTTCAACCATCTAAAGCACCTTATTTTCTCAACTGGACTGAATAATATCTCAACGAACTTATTCCCCTCTTTAGATGAGTTATGTGGCTACCAATTGAGTTATATCTTCTTCTTTTTCTTCTTTTTTTATTTTCTTTTGTGTCAGTTGTGACATTGTGAAAGGGTATTTAGACTTGGTATCTAAATAATTACTTTGTTCTTGTTTTGAAATATAGATGAAATAAAACTGTTGTGGAAACATTGGTTATGAAGTACTTAAACAGAAGCAGTTTGACTTGTTTTTGTCAAACAGATGGGCAGCGAAGGTGCTTGTGAATAGTGATGAAGCTTGTGATCATGGACGAAAGGTGGGAGGCTGCATAAGCATAAGGCATTTTGCAATAGAGCTAGTCACAATTTCTTATTGTTCATCTATAGTTCTTATGTTGCTTGTAGTCGCTTCTTGCAGGAAGTGGGGCTTCCAAGTCAAGTTGCAAGGTTTTCTAAGGTACCCTTGAATGCTCATTTTTCGTCAGCTTGCATAAAATATTGAAGTTACCCTGCTTTTATACGCTTCTGCAGATAGCAAACTCTTGATACTTAAGGTGGACTAGGGATGCATTTTTCACCTACATTAAGTATTCGGGAAATCATTTACTGTTTCCTTAGTCGTCCATATGTAGTATGTAATGTGTTTTCTGCATAATGCAGACAATTACAGCAGTTTCAGGGAAATCAAAGAGCAAAAATACTGGATTTCTAAATGCAATTGGCATGAATGCTCTTTTCTGTGAACCAAGAGATTGTATGGATGTTCAAGTGACTGAAATCAACGATCCAACTGTAAAAGATTTCTGTAATATCAACCTTACCACTTTTGGTAAGTTTGTTAATCTGAACATCTGATTTGTAGAGTGGCAACTTCATCAATTTTCTATTGAAAACATCCCTCTCGGCATTGTTGTCATAGCTTTTCTACATAACAAAGATAATAGAGCAGGGAGTTTTCATCTTAGAGAGGAAAACATAAGTTCATAACTCCATGTTTGGATTTTTTTCTTCTGTAGTTTTCATTCTTCTGCTTGATTTAATCATCGATGTTCCTAATTACGAGTTTGGTGTTGGCAGTGCCTGAGTCAAATATTGGCAACTGGATGGGGCCAGCGATCAAAATGTCACTTCCGAGTTTTAGGTAAGTTTCTCCCTTGGTTTCTGTTTTGTGCATGCTCCCTATGCTATTAGAGTTCGTTTTTTCCCTTATGTATTTCCTTGTGCTGTCAAATTGCAGCGGCCGTACAGAATATTATCCCAACCTTCTCAAGTACTCTTGCCAGATTGAGTGCAGGTTTCCTTTTTTTCAGTTTCATTTACCATTTTATGTTCATCAAGCTTCATTAATGTTAAACTCGTTTCCACCAAACTCGAGTGACAACTTGGTATTGGGAAAATGTGTTATTTTTCCTTGGTTTACATGGATTTCCAACATATGATTGTTAGTTTGCTTCTGATTAAATTCTGTAGGGTGCGAGCAGTGCATCCAGCAAAGGTATCAGGACCATCTTCGATGCCAAAGAGCGAGGCAGAACGATCTTCAGAAATCCATCACGCGACAGAAGAATTCATGGATAATGGCAAGAACCTATGTGTAGCTGTGATGTCATCAAAGCCTATATTGGCATTAGAGTTCAGTTGTATGAAAATGCAGGTTGAAGCTCCAGTTGTAGTTCCCAACAGCTTTAACAACTCTCTAGCAACCTCTTGATTGTGTTATCTGTTATAATATTCAAAATAATTTCTTCTGGCGTGCTGTGATTTCAACAGTAAGAATTTAGTCTCAGCTTCTTGCAACTTTGAGTAGGACATCAACTTGTTGTCAATAGAACATCTTGCATCTAAGCTTCACGTATTCACTTGGATTTATCGAACAGACCATTGAAACAGATCAATTATTTGAAACTATTTTACAAATATGGAAACTTGAGATTTGCCAAAAGCACTCCCTTCTTTTCTTTTCTTTTTTCTTCAAGTGTTTACAAAAAATTTCTACTTTCCATAGCATGGACAACCCCCCGTGTAACATGTTACAAATAACAAACAAATGCAATTTTCATGCTCGGATGATTGAACCTTGGCAATCGAATTTCTTACAATCTCAATCTGGACCCAATCTAACTGATCAGTAGATCAGAATACTTCGGGTAGAGGTCGGCCCTCCAAAAATGACCTGAACAATACAAGTGATCTCTCCGGCTGTGAGAATGGTGCTTCATGTGATGCTCCTCTAATGGTGGCAAAGGAAAGCATATTACCATAAGCTTGAGTCCACCCACCAACCTACAGGTAAGGAAAAAAGAAGCATCATTTAACACTTTTTAAGTTCCAAACAGAAGCACCTGAAAGTCATCAAATTTTGGTAATCTCAAATAAGAGTCACCTGCTGCCCCTCAAACCAGACTCTATAAGGCACGGTGGTATTTAGTCCTAATTGCTCAGCAAGTCCATGAACTAATGTTCTACTTCCTGTCAATGGGATAACAGAATCTTGGTCTCCACTGAAAGTTTACAAGAAAGTAAGTCAACTGCAACCACCTTTAGAAAATAGAGAATGTTTTTATGTTGTGTGAAATACATAAAATACTTATAAAGGTAAGAGGCATCTACCTGTAAACCAAGACCGGTATTCCTGCTTTGATGAGTTTGCCCACGATTGTGATTGTTGGTATCTCCACATCCAACAGCTGATAATCCAGTATGCTGTCATGAACACAGAAGATGATTTAAGCAAAATACTACTTTGAGATGCAGTCAAAAGTATATCTGGTGAAGAGAATTACTTGCTGCAAACTGCCCATTGACGAACGCCAACAAGTCGAGCGTGCAGTGCCTTCTGCACGTCTGGCCTGTTCAGATAATTAACTATTTCATCCTCCACGCATACATCTATTGCCTCAGTAACTTGCTGCTAGAATGAACAAGTTAAAACAATTAGAAGATGGATACGAACTTGTTGAAAATGAATCAAAATTTCAGGTTGCAATAGATGGTTTTCACCTGGGGAAGGAGGACTTTGGATTGGGAGAACACAGATGATATACAAACATCAAGAGTGACATCATACTTGTCAACAAATTTACTGGTTTCTCTGCTCACTTGGCTCATCACCCTTGAACAAATAGGTGAAACCGAGCCTCTGTAATATTCACTCACATAACGTGAGTAGTTACAAACAGAAGTGAACATTTTGTATGTTGAATCTGATATCAATCCATGAGACCAAAAGAACTCAGCTCTTGAGTTGAAGTCAGTGGTATATTCTAGGACTGGGTTACCCAACTGCAAAGAGAACAAAAATTTTAGACCAAAATCGAGGGGGAGAAAGCACAAGAAACCCAAAGGTGGTAATTTTGAGATTTTATCACTCACCGCAATTCCTTTCAAATTGAATTGATACTCCTTATATTGGAGCATGAGTTCTGCAAGCTGGGGAACATAGTGACCTGGATATATATAGGGAAAATAAAATCAATAATTCCATCTCTTATTATATCCTTGATTAAGAAGTAAGCAATTGTCAGGAACAAGATGATACCAGCATAGCTTTCCCCTGTAATAAACAAGCTTCTATTTTTATATTGTGGGAATTTTTCAAACCACTTTTGCAAGAACAGCAGATTGTCCCTGGCTGTAGATAACAAGGACAAAGTTCAGAAATCATAGATGGCCTGTAAAGGTGAACTTTTGTCAACTCAGAAGGAAAAATACAAAACATCAACAGTGCGCATCACACATGGCATATCTGTAAAGTGAGTGAACTAAGAAAAAATTATAGTGCAAGGCCATCGTGAAATATTATTTTGAATCTTTGGTGTAAAAAGAAATGAAAAGATTTCTAATGGAACTTTGGTGAATAAAAAAAAGAATATTTTCTTCTCTTTTCTTTTTGGGAAAAAGAACAAAGGAAAATGATAGGAAGACAAGTTGACTTGAAATTCAGTACACAAATTGTGTTTCTTCTGCTGTTTTTAAACAATTTGCGGAAGGGTTTTTCTTTCTTATCTAGCAGGACCTCTACTTGCTAAAAAAATTAGAAATTTCAAATGCAGTGAATTACAGTGAATGTAAATAAAATTTCAATTAACAGAAATTGAAGAATCAAATTGGTGAGGCGTGCCTGTGATGTGGTCATTTACAGCCTCATAAGAAGAAGTATCCGTTGAATAAGAGAACCCCACTCCAATTGGTGTCTCCAAGTAAAGCATGTTTGCTTCTGCAAATCAATGAGCATGTTAAACAATCAGCAGCATTGTATTGTTTTGAAACTACCCAGTAATGAATTGAAGAAAATCAAAAGGAGCATTATTTTACCTCTGTTCCAGCTATGTTCATTTCTAACCAATACCTCTCCGCTAGGCCTAAATGGCCCATTCTCAGAAAACGCTCCAACTCCCAGAGAAGAGCAACCAGGACCTGAAATCACAAACCATCAAGACCCAGAAAGATTTCATTTTTTTCAAAACCCAGTTAAAAAAATATATTAAAAGGAGAGAAAATTGAGTTTTGAGTAAGAAGTAGGGACCTCCATTGAGCCAGAGGACAAGAGGCTTGGAAGCTGGATCTATTTCTGCTTCAGCAAAGTAATAGAACAGAGCTCTCTGTTTCTTCTCATCAACGGTCACATAACCCGAATACTGCTGGAACCCGACTTGGGGTTGACCCGGCAACAGAGAAATTCTATCAAGCTCAGAAAGAGAAGCTCGTGCTTTCATTGAAGAAGAAGTTATGTGGAGCAAAACCAGAGCCACTACAATGGTCTTCCATGGTAGAGAAAGAGAAGTCATGGGTTCAGTAGAAAGAAAGAGCAAAGAGCCTAGAGCCTAGAGAGAAAGAAAGATTCAGCTCAGCTGAAATGCTGCCCAGAGTGGGGGCACTATATAAAGAAAAAAGAGGGGAGATCTTGTTTTTTGTAATTATTATTATTTGAAACTTTTGTCCCATCAGAGACTTTGGACCTGAAAGAGATGAATGCGATCATGTGAGAGACTCATGCTGGCCTTTCTCCTTGGTGTGATCTGGTCACTCTTTCTCTCTCTCTCTCCTTGCCTTTGGGGGGTGATGACTTGGCTGAGTCAGCAAATGGGGTGTTACTGTTGCTGAAAATGAAAAGAGAGAATGTGCTTTTTAAGACACTGTATTAATTCACAGATCGTTCAGAAGTACTGTATTTGTCTGTTTTGTGTTTGGCTAATAAGTTCTCCAAAATCTACAACAGACGCTGCAATTGGATTCACTGCACTAAAAACTCTGTTCCATTCTGATTTTTTTTATACCTAAAAAATATTTAATTAATCTGTTCCACACTCCATAGAAGGGAAAAGAAGCTCTAGGGGGATGACTTTTTATTCTCCTCACTATACAGCTGAATGTGACATCCAACCAGTGTAATAATGTCTCCAAAGAATTTTCCTCCTAGCCAACAAGGTAAGCAATTGTAGCTAAGTGATTTGATTTCCCTTCTCCCAATATTGCTCGTATACATAAACAAAGTAACAAACTTTTTTATTTCTTGCAACTTGTACACGAAAGAAATATGGTGTGGAAATTTGGAAGCATGACTTGGTGAAGGTCAATGCACGCCATGCCAGTAGCAAAGACATGGTTTTTGAAAAGAAAAACTTGTAAAAACCCGTGATCTGGGTTGAATTTTAAGATAACATTTTGCATCAAAAATTCCAAACTCTAATTACGGTTTATTGGCTAATAATCCAAATATAGTAAACTATTTTATTAAATTATTACGCGTGTGCCGCAGCACTCGGCTGCAGCAGGCTGCTCACTGGGCACCTGTTTTCCATGGTTTTGTTTATGAAACTGCGAAATACGACAAAAACATATTCCGTTATTCCATGTCCTGTTTTCTTCTCACTTCTCAGCTAGCTGAGGTAAGGTCTCAATCTTGCTTGGGACAACACACACAATTACATCCTAATCCCCATGCAAATTTTTGTTTGTGTTATCAGCAAACAAAATATACTTGCTTGTGGCATCTCTGCCATTTTGGGTCACTTTTTTTATTTTTATGTTTAAGAATGAAAAGTGTCTGTGCTAGCTTTAGTTGGGAAATGTGCCTAAAATGGAAGTGCAGCAATGAGCATAAGGCATTGTGTGATATTTTTCTGTGAGTCTTGAAATGGAAGCATGGTTTCACTTTTCTATTCAGCTTTTTTTTTTCCTTAGAGGAATTGATGGGTTTCTTTTCATTATATTTTACTTCGTTTGTATGGGGAAAAGCTGATTAGCTTTTGAATTGGTAATATATCTTCTTTTTTTTTCATATTGGATTAGATTAGACACGCATGCTAGAACCCATACATGTTGGTTTCATATTTGATTTGGTTTCTGTGTGTGGAAATGACAATGGGTTGAGGTTTGAGCCTCTTTTCCTCTAGTATGAAGGTTTCAGTTCTGATTCATTCTAATACTTACAAAGTTACTTTACGATAAGTCTAGAAGCGGTTTGTTTCAGCAAAAATATGTATAGAAAGTCAGAATTCCGTGAAGAATTGGGTAAGCTCTGAAAAGTCAGAAAAACTTTTAACTTGACAAAATGGAAGAATTATTGACACAAGTGAAAACAAGAAAAAAGACATTGAGACTTTGAAACTCTTTTCTCTGTGTGTGTTTGTGTGGTGATGATGGGGTCAAGAGGGTAATGATTTTCACTCGAGCATGTTGGAGAAAACATTTCATTTCGTACCTGCCAAAACATGCTACATGATTTTGCTTTTTATTTTTTTTTAACCAAGCTAGGCCACCCACACCATTTTGTTTGGACAAAAGGCAAAACCTATCGAAAGGTCCTGCCTTGCCACCCACACCATGCCATGCCTACAATTTTTTTCATCTTGGAAACCTCCTCCTCCCACCACATTGCCTTTTGCTTTTTTGCAGTCCCATCTCAACTAACTTGCATAGCAACTTTCACAACTGGAAAGAAGAAAAAAAAAGTGTTTTTTAGAAGAGAAGAGAGTTCCAACTCCAAGTCTTCCTCCTGAGTTCCTAATCCAAAGAATAATGCAAGCCAATATAATGATTTCAATGTAATAATTATGGGGAAAACCATGATATAGAAACGTCCAATTGTAGGGTAATCTTGTTTGAATTTCAAGGTGAGTTTGCCAAATGTGTAATACTTTAATATAGTGGATGAAGATTCTAAATAAATGTAAAACAGGTAGGTGTGTGTATAGATAAGGGTCCCCCTATGTCACAAAATAGAAAGGGAAAAACTGATAGATATTGGGTCAAAATCACCTTTAGAATTCTGGTGTCTTTTTTCTCTTCTTTATTTACTTTCCTATGCGCACCTTTTCACCAAAAGAATCCCTTCTTTTTTTTTTGCTGGGGGTGTACACCAAGAAGGCCATGGCCACGGGCCACTATTATATTCACATGCCCCCATCCATCTTCTGTAAGTTTTAGATATCTCTCCTTGTTTGGTTTCATGTTTGCTCAGTTGCCCATGCTCTTGTGGTAAGTTTTATGTTTGGCCCTACAATATTTTAGTTACAGGCCTTCAACAAAACCTGCTGCGCGTGCTAAGTGCTATGGACCGCATGACAGAGACAGAGACCACAGAGAGAGAGAGAGAGGGAGAGAGAGAGAGAGAGAGAGAGAGAGAGAGAGCGTAGATGAGATTGTGGGGTTTGGATTCTAAAGCCTCCCAACGGCCATTTTACAATGTTCCATCTATGAGATGACAAAACCAATTTTATTCGTTATTCTTTCTTAGGACCAGTAATTAAAGTGAATGGTTAGGTAACGTTAACTTAGAGCTAGAAAATAACTAAGTAGCTCAATGAAGAACGTTACTTATCCCTTAAATTAATTAATTAAACCTATTTATTTGGTTAATTAATTAATAGGGATGATATCTTAATTATAAGATATTATCTTTATTTAATAAGATAATATCATTAATTGGGATATTATCCTAATAAGGGGATAATATCTTAATTATAGGGTATTATCTTATAATTAATAAAGATAATATCATTAAATCAGATATTATCTTTATTTAAAAGAGATAATATCATTAATTCGGATATTATCACAATAAGGGGATATTATCTGATAATTAATTATCAGATATTATCATAATAAAGAGATGTAATCGAGTCCGACTCAATCTCTACGAAACCCTAGCCCCGAGGCTACAAAACCCTAGCCCCGAGGCTCCTATAAATAGATGACTTCAGTCATCATTCAAGGTACATCTAAACTGACGTCAGAAACCCGACTTCAGAAACCCTACTTCTAAACCTAGCTCCAGAACCCGAGAAAATACCCGAAGCTCTCTCTCCCTCTCCACTCTCCACTCTCCATATTTTCTCCACACGGCTCCTACCACCACACACGGCTCCGGCCACCCGGTTCACACCATACAAACTCCGTACCCTTCGCTTAGCTATTGTTTTCCTACAAACACTTGAACTAACTTAGGCATCGGAGGGCCTTTGGCCAACACCCCCCGGGTGTGGTCTATTTACTCCAATCTGTTTTACAGGAATCGAGAAGGAGAGAGAAGGAAGATCGAAGGTTCGAGGATCTAGAAGCGAATATTCTCCCGTGAGATTATTTGCACAAACAGTTACCATCAGTGGTCAATTTGTGCGTGTAGGTGAATTCTGACTGTCGATGCATTGGTACGGGTGTAGGTGAATTCTGATTGTCGATGCATTGGTAGGGGTCTTATTCTTGGACAATATTTGTCCTCATGCCAAAACCATTTCACAGGCCATTACGTCCAGTTCAGTTATCTTTCGTATAATTTCAATGCAGAACGGTAAATTTTGAACATAAATTGTGAAAATATTGCAATGGCAATATTCAACTGCCTCCACCTTAAGTCGCAAAGTCTTTGAGAGTATGTGGGGAAAAAGATGTCAATGGTCAACTTTCCAGACTCGTCTCAAACCAGAAAGAGCCGTTAAAGATAGTGGACTTTACATTATGGGCCATTCTTATATAGCGCTTCAAAAACAGAGAGAGGACAACCTAAATGATCCAAGTTTCAAACAAATATCCACAGATTGTTGATATTGTTTCATTTATCAAATGTTGGAAATGATAATCTTGGTGGTATTATCTCTTTTAGGAGAACCCCATGCTGCGAGGTTGCCAATAATCATAGTAGATATTAGATACAATTTTAGATTAGCTCCAATGATATCAGAACTCAAATCAGAAGGTAAAATAAAAGGCATATTTGAGATTCGATTTTGTACAATTGTAATGAACACTGACAGTAACAGAGTCCCTTTGAAAGCACAAATTTTAAAAAATAAAATAAAAAAGGGTACCCCTCGATTGTGAATAGATGTGTTAATAACCGGAGCCCTGTGTCGGGCAGAAGTTCAGATGAAAAATACTTCAACAACACCAATTAACACAAAAAAATAAAGTCAAAGGAAAAATACATACAACCGCACATACATCTAAAAGATCTTTACTATCAAGCATAGCTTCTTCACCGTGGAGCGGATTTCTGTGCAATAGGCGTGGAAGGGTCTTGATCGATTGCCTTGCGGGATTCTTCCCACAGCCGATGCTCAATTCCCAATTTCCTGAGTTCCATCAGCCCTTCCTCGACTGATAAAAAGAACTCATATAAGCAAAACTACAACACTGCCATATTGAATCTCAAATAGAATGCATTGATTTTGTGTGCAAGGACCACGTGTGCTGATAAGAGAAATACAAAGAATCTATTGTGCCTAAGATTTTTTCTTGAAGGATTTACGCAAGGGAATTTCAAAGAGCACCATTGAGTATGCAAGACCAGAGAAAATCCCCAATAGGAAACAGAAATAAAAAAAATGAGAACTAAAATTGATGTTCAGACAATTTTCTTCCAAGATAGCAACTCCACCATCGTTAAACTCAGTGAAACACAAAATTCTTGCCAGCAAACTAAAACTCACCATCAACAGCGTCATGTGATGTGGGTGAATGCCTACTGCGGTTAATCCAAAACTGAACTCTTTCTTTGGCAATCTCCTCCTCTATACCATGAACTTTGGCTCTTCTCCAAAAATAAGTAAGCCATGCCTATGACAGTTGGATATATTCAAAATAATTGCATTAACATGATATAAATAACTTGTCCTTGTGAAAAACAAATGCATAGACAAATATGTTGATTGTACTAAAGGAAAAATAATGACTATTAAGTTTGAAGATTATGATACGAGACTACTTGAACCATGTGATATAAACCATATTATTAAGTTGGCTATAATTCAAATGCCTGTGTCAGTTGACTAACAAACTGGTATATTTCTAATTAATAGGCTAGAAACCATATTATTAAGTTGAAAATTTCAGCCACATAGTTTGCTCAAAATAACATCCGTTAAAAGAGAAGTTCAGCATTTTAAGTGCACATATAATTTCGTACATACAACTGAAGATGTACATTTAACAACATACATATGCACAAATAAGCATTTTCCAAAATCAATAAGATGCAAAGACAAATAACTCAAACTGAAATTTCAAACCTCCTTAAAAAGTACATCCTCAGACTCCTCTGGACTCAACTCTGCAAGAAAACAACAATATATGTATCACATTCATATCATTACGACAAACAATTATGGAATTCTATCAATCATAAAATAATGACATATAAACTGAAGAACTTGTTGATTAGGATCACACAATGCTTAAAAAAGGAAAGAATTAATGACTGTCAGGACACGGTTTCTGGTTAATGCATATCTTGTCAAGCTAATTTGATAAGATGCTGATGTATGATGAATTTTCCCTATTCCATAATGTAGTAACAGTTTCAAAGTTTATTTTTTCTTGTCAAATATGGTAAATTATGGATCACCTTACGATTCAATATCTGAAAAAAGAATGACGTACCAATAGCCTCCATAAACTTTGGGTCAGCAGGTGATTTGATATCTGATAACAACAGTATGTATCAAAACACAATAGGAATGTTGGATGATAGGAAACATCGGAAGAAAAGGGAACCACACATGCCAACATGTTATAGAAATACAATGCATACCTGAAAAGGATAGCCGAGTAGAGTTTGGACGCCGTTGCTGGGCCAATGCAAGCACTATAGCCTCCTCAACCTTCGTTGTAGCAACATCATTAATTAACCACAGAAAAAAGAAAAAGCAGCAGATTAACGAAGAAGCAACAATTGAGCAAATGGTGTTCCTGAGTTGGAAAATGACATCAGAAAAAACAATATATAATAATAAAATAAGATGAGCAATGGATTAGAATGGAACCTTCAAGGAAGCAAGCTCCTTCAATCCCATTTCAACTGCAAGCATACTCTCAATGTTTCCTTCTCCAGTTAAATCATTTAAGTCTTGAACAAGTTTGTTTCTCTTCTCAAGATCATCATAACCTGTTCAACATAAGAATTAGAGCCTGCAATAAGTCCAATGAAATTTTCCTGTCACTGAAGAAAAGAAAACAAATATATATACTAACAGAAAAAACTCTGTTATGATGATTACTAGCCTTTTTCCCAGGATTCCTCCTTGGCCTTTTGTCCTGCAGAAATGACAACCTCAAATGGAAGAGGAGCTAGTGATGACCAGTATTCGTACTTAGTTACTGCAATATCTGCACAAATACCTACAAGGCATAACAGAAATTGTTTAAAGTTGAACCAAATGATGATACGCGAGTATCATAAAAACCTATTGTGCAAGCAAAAGCTTTGACAACTTAAGAGATTGCTCTCTTTTCATTTTGTTTCCTATAGAACAAAATGCAAGCAAAAGCAAACAAAAACCAAATATCAATGAGTAATTAATTGTCGGAATTAATTTTAAAAGAAATAAACATATAAAAGTACTATGAGTTCCTTTCTATATGCTAGAAATTATGACATAGCATACCATGCATTGCAGCTAAGCCCCAATTGCGTGCAAGCCAACACCTCTTGAGAACTACTTCTTCCTGAAGTACAGATATACCAAATAATGAATCCCCAGATGGCTACTAATATGCTGTATGCAAAAGTGCATATGCTGAATAATTAATCACCAGATGACTATTAATAGCTCCATGCAACTATGCATACACATACCATTTCTTCCTGAGTCAATATCATTCTTTGTGTCATTAGTTGTAGGGATTTCACTTCAGATTCAGCTCCATCAAGTTGTTGCATAACAACTGCACTTGCTTCTTTTGCTTTCTGATTCAAACAAGAAACTACACTATCAAATTGCATGCCACATTTATATTTGGTTATGCATTAGACTTGGATTTAGCAATTCCTTTTAGCAGATTGACAATGCCAGCATGGTAGCACAAGTACCTCGACTTCAGACCGAAGAGATGCAGCCTCTGTATCTACCTCATCCTTTGACAGTTTTGCATCTTTAAATGCAACCTATAACAATATAAAAAACTCATTAGACGGTCTTTCTTAAAAAAAACAAATACAAATTAATGCACACTATGGTTTAGTAAACTCACGGTAGACCTTAGATAAAAGCAAAAAATTTCCACTCATATAGTGACCTATGAACAAATATAAGTTGATTGACTCGTATTTAAGGTAAGATAAAGAGCATCTCAAGTTTACTTAATTACCTCTTTTTGTCGCAAGGCAGCTTCCTTTCTGCAAAGCAGGGACAGATAATGTCAGTGTCACCAAAGAAAAATGAGAAGGAAAGCTGCATGCATGAAAATTATTTGAACTTTAGTTCACCTGCTCAAGAATTTAGCATCCAAAGACACACCTTCTCCAAACCCAGCAACCTGAAGACTCAAAAATATAGCAAATTCGTAATTAATGATAAGCACACTCTTATACATTATGCAGCACACCATGGTAGCAAAACAATTACCTGCTTTTCAAGTTCCCTAACTCTAGCATCGGCTTCATCACATCTCTCTTCTTCCTGTCTGAGCTGTAAGATAAATTCCAGAATGGAATAAATTACAGATAGATTAAATTGAACTAATTACTTAGTTAAGAAAATACAAGGACAAAATCTTGCACCTTATCAAGAATATTCTCATGCTCTTCTTGTAGTATATCGAGCTGCAGGGTAAACAGTTATTCCAAATACAACTTCAAGGATAGGAAATAGAAAATGACATCCTTATTTATCTTAAAGAGGATACAAATGACGCATATCCAGTGCATTTAAACTCAGATGCATGTAATTCATGTGCATACTTCATCACGAAGTGCAGAAGCCTCTCGATGATCTCCCGAATCTTTTGCTTTGAAATGTCCTATTTCTGATAAGAATCTGCAATTCATGCCCACCCATTATATCCAGTATTCTTAATCATATAAACTATGTCAGTCAAGCTAACACAAAATATGTATTTAACAGAATTAGTGTTGATTGCAAGGATTGGCTCTGGTAGAAACAGAATAGGTACATAAAACAATTCAAATTATATTAGTTAGTCCGCGTGTGTGAGTGTGTGGGGTTATATCAAGCCTTAAAAATGACCTTATTAGCAAAACATTGGGCTGCTTACATAGTATGCATGCATTCAAAAGCTTGAAAAAGAATGACAATGAAAACTAAGGTAAATTAAGAGATGAGCAAAAACACTAATAGAATGCAAAGAAAGTATCCTATAGCCTATTCCTACACCTTTTAGATACATGTAGTAGATAGTAATGGCAGACCTTCAACTGTTCAATTATATAAATGACATGAGAAAGAAGATTATTTACCGATTCTCTTTTTTCCTATTATTGGTGGGAGGGTCCAATGGTGGCATGGAAGTTGCAGTCCTAAGTGATGTTCTATTGGGTGGTGCCAATGGAGGCGCTGCACGGAGAGACATTGATGGCCTTCCAGTTGATGTTGAGCGAACCTGTGGAGTTTCCTCTACAGAGTTCTGTGCTAACTAATCAAATATCAGAAAAGGCAATCAGCCCTCCACATTGAAAGCCAAACCTCCCCAACCATTCAAATCACCAGTTCATTGACACACACATCCCTTCCAAAACCAACCCAAAAAAAGGGCTTAGCCGGTTAAACTCACAGTCAATCAACTATTGGACTCAGTAAAATCCCCTGAATCCAGAAAAGATCCTTAATTTCTCAAAAATAAACTAAACTCACAAAAAAGATTTATCATATTTAAACTCAAGAGCAGAATTTGACATAATTGAGAGTAAATCAGAATACAAAGAGCAATGTGGCACCAGAACTTTCAAGTACAAAGAGGAACTAAAATCCACATTATGTTCTTCTGCCTCAAAAACTCAAGCTTTCACTTCAACCAACTCATTTAACTACTAATTAATTACTATACCACAGACAAATTTCAATTTTGAAAATCTCAGGTGAAAGAAAAATACACACACATAATTGAGAGCTCAAAGATTTACCGCCGCGGGCGAAGGCGATCTAGTAGTGGTCCTGGAAGACGGAGCCACAGGCTTAGCACCAGGACTATTGACATTTCTAGAAAGAGAGAGTGGCGGCGGAGCACTGTATCGAAATCCGAGGTCGTCCTCTTCGTCGTCGTCGTCGTCGGCGGTCTGAGAGGCCATGACCTGAGCGAGGCGCTGAGCCGCGGCCTTGGCGGCAAAGTTCTGAGTGCGTTTGATGTTGGAGATGCCGCTGGCGGAGGATGACCGCGCGTGGTGACCCCGCACCGGAGACATCGCCGGAGATGTGGCGCCGCCGAGAGTGGTGCTAGACTCGCTCGTCCATTGGCGGGCGTAGACCGGGCTGTCGGTTCGTCTCCGGTCCATATAGTGTCAGTTAGTTAGTTAAATATAAATATAGGCAAAGGGCGCCTAGATCGTCGGTTTGCAGAAACGTAGACAGGAAGGCTCCAAGTTCGGAGCTTTAAGCTTAGACTGAGGAGAGAGAGATTTTTTGGGTTTCCTTCGACAGACCGCTGCTGTCTGCAAACTCTACTAGACGCTAGTGAGCTGATGCTTTTTTTTTTTTTGTCCAAGTGTGATTTTGGTAAAACTAGAGTAAATAAGGGTGATTAATTATGGTAATGTTGGGCTTGATTTTGGAAATCATGATAATTAGATTGAATATGCAGTTTTATGTTTGGTTTGGAATTTGAGATATTAACAACCTAATTAGGTTCAAGTTCAATAGTGGAAATCATGATAATTAGCAAATGAAGAAGTACTATTATAAATTTCAGTCCGAAAAAAAAAAACATAGGATTAATTACATTTTAGCAATTTTTTTTGGTCGTCTAATAACATTTTACCAGCCTTTAGCCAGTCTGATTTAGTTTGATTTTTCATTTTTATTTTTTGAATTTCAATATGACCGATTTTAGAAATCAATTCATAATATCAAAACAATGAGTGACTACTGAATCTAAACAGTCTTTTTTTTCAATTACCGTAGTCTTTGCACCTAATTTTCGTCCTCAAATTTTCCTTCTCTTAAATTCTTCTTAGCTGCCACCACCAACTAAAATTTGAGATCTCCCTCCCTCTTCAATTGTCTTTCTCATCGCTATTGTTATTGTCATCGCTATCATTTGAAAATTTCTTTTCTTCTCATCACATCTCAAACTGTGGAAACCGAACTGAACTCATTTATCAGCGTATTGACAATGATCAATGTCTACTTTTAGCAATTAGGCTCAATCTATAAAATTGGCTTATCGATATAATTGATCTTGAGCAAAATATTGACCAGATTATAAGAGACTTGTAGCTCAAATTTGAACCTAACGGTGAAGTGAATCTTAGATGAGAATTCACCTTAGCAAAGTGAAAAAGAAAGCCAATTGGACTCCCCTCTAGTACTAGCTAGTACTATACTCCTCTAGTTATAAAGAAACAGATCTAAGCCGCAGCAATCGAGGGTCTACGAAAGAAAGCAAACAAGGAAATGAACAAGAAGCCCCGTACCGTAGGAAAACATCAACAAGAGATTAAAACAAACGCGGCAAAAGCATATCAAAAGTTAACCACTACGAGTAGATTTTGAGTTTGAGTATAACACCGTCACATAGTGTTAGTAATATCTAAGAAATAAAATTTTCGGTAAGGTTAACATTCAAATTTACTAAGAAGCTTCATTCTTTTTGGTCAAATACTAAGAACCTTCATATGTATGATGATAATAGATAATGTATGTTTAAAATTGAAAAGTTATCCAGTTAATCATGACCGAGAGCCAGTGCATCCAGTGAGCCTTCCAAGGAAAGAAGGCCCTTTGGACTTGGACCTTGAAAACTGAGATTGGTTTTGCCTTTTGAGATCATCAGCCTTTTGTCCTGCCAGAGGACTCTTCTTCAACCTTTTGTTCTCATCCCTCAGCTTCTGAATTGTTTCATTCTGGTACTTGTTTCTCCTTATCAACTCAGCCTGCTGCTGAATATTTTCCTCTATGAGTTCTGAGATCTTTTCGTCCCACATTTTCTCACCATCGGATTCTTCATAGGATTCTTGGTCTGTCTGAACCTGTGTCTTCAAAGCCTTGACTTCCTTTTCGCACTTGTGGATGGTTTGGACTTTCAAGGAGTGTAAGGAAGAAAATGATCTCAGATGGGAGGCTTGAATTAGTTCAGACCTAAGCTGATCATACTTCTCAGCGAGCGAACGGTGCGACTTGTAGAAGTCTTCAAGCAAGTTTATCAGCGTAGGTTTTCTTTTGTAGAACATCTCAGCCCTCTTTGCAAATGAATCTCCATCTTCTTCTATAATATTTAGCATGAGCTTAGTCTTCTCGTTCAAATCTGCAAAAATATATCACATCTCTGTATGGTTAGAATTCACTCCTTCATTTGGGTGACATATCATGTAACTCAAATCAAAATCCCACTCAATAATCCTGCTATTAGAATGTGAATATTACGCTCCCCACGGTTGATAAACGGGGCAAGATCAAACGGATATGATGAGCCATGCACATTTGCACCATGAAGAACTGAATTTTAAGCATGCAAGAAATCATCCAAATAAAAGATTCTAATGTAAATATAGAGAAGGGAGGAAACAAAGAAAATAATCTGTGTGCATAATGTAACAAATCAAACGTGCAAAAACTAATGAACTTAATTGGGGTGGGGTGGTGGAAACCCTAGCCTAGATGAGGAAGATGAAAAGGTAGAAACCTGAGAGAGTGGCTTCAAGCCACTGAGATTGATGGGGATGATTATGGCTATCCCACCACCATGAAAAAGAGGCAGCCTGGTCTTCTCTGTTCGTCTCTATTGAACCCATCGTCTTCTACACAATAAAACCTTCTCCCTCCACTGAGGTTTTGTTTCTGCTGGGGGCACTATATATATATATATGCGCTATATATGAAACCCTGTTTCTTTGAATCTGTATTGACTTATAACACTCTCTGTCAATATTATCCTGATTTTCAGGACTTCAAAAAAATAAAAAATCCCTCTAAAATACGACAACTTAATAGCGTTGAATCTTTAGAAACCCTCTAACTTCCTGTGGGCGCAAACTGTTCTTGAGTTTGAGTTTGAATTTAAACAGTCTTCTATGATTTTGAAAATGTTTCATAAGTTAAATTCATCCTTTAACAAATAAATGCATTATATGTGCGTTTAAAAAAAAAAAGCATTTTGTTAGAAATTTGACATATATATATATATATATATATTTATATTGAATCAAACTTGATAATGCTTGAAATTAATTTGGAATAATCAATGGCTTTTGATTTTGAACGAAATTGACAAGTCTCGAGAAGTTTTTGTTATTTTTAGAATTTAATTTATCGCATTAAATGTGAATCCCTTAGATTGCCACTGCCAATTTAAATGTAGATTCTTGAGAATTTAATGGCCCGTTAGAATAGAATGTGAGGTGATTGGGGATCACATAAAATAGACAAGAGGTTGATCTTCACATCCCTACTGATTTGATGCTAATTTCACTTTCCTCCTCATCCCAAGCTCAGCTCGGGTCCACAGGTTTGGTCTCAATGGGAATTTATTATTTTCTTTGGGTTTCTCACCAACCAAACAAGATTTAGGCAACCCATTGGGTTAACTTTTCTATTCAGGTAAACCAGGCGGAAGTCCCCTACGAGTGACAAAAGTGGTAATCTCATTGAATTCTTGACAACTACTCATCTTAAAAAGCCTTATAGAACTTCAGCAGTCAGCATCTTTCAAAATTGGTTGGGATTAGAATCAGTACCCATGTAGGCTAGCTGAGCCTCTGGGCAGAAAACAAAACCCCAAAAAAATGAAAAAAGAAAAGCATTCACGTAGGATATTCTTGCCTACAGATATTGAAAAAGATAAAAAAGCTAATTCAGGCAGAAATTCTTTCATTAGATAATTTGTGTATTAAAATTCGTTTATTCTGGGTGTTTTCTTTTTGGAAAATTTAATTAGGTGGGATGCAATAGTTAAATGAAAAGTTAGCTCAACCAGGCAACCATCACAAACCAGCCCGGTCATTTCCCCCCCAAATGACCCGACTATATATCCAATCCAAGTACTTGCCTCATTCCTCCCTTGCTAGCCCCCCACCCCAATATACAGTTTTCTATCCCCACATTTCTCTTCATGCCGTTGTCATCATCTACTGTAATTTACCTCCAAGTTCCAACCAGCATCACTTAGGTTTGTCTCTGGATTTCAATCTCTTATTTTACGTTTTGGATCTCGAAAACTTGCATTTTGTACACAATCCTTGTTCCCCCAAGTGACTGGGATTTGTCAGGCAAGCACTCCCTTATTCAATAGGGAAACTCCTAATTTGATGGGGAAACAATCCTCAACGCCCAACCAAAACCACCAAGCTCAACCAGAGTTTCCCCACCTCATTCCTCTTCTGGAGATACAATCCAGCATGAAGGCAAACTTTGGGAGCTCAAGGTTGATTCCCACGCTTAAGAAAACTGGCAGGCAATTTAATGTGCAACTGCCACTTCATGGGAGGAAAATGTGAATCAAAACAGGGCCAAGCAGGGTCAGGCTTAGGCTTGGCTGTTCCCAGCATGACCTAAGGGGTTGTTCCATCCCGGGGGTGATTCTTGAATCTCTGTTAATCAGTTTTAGTTTATCAAAAGGGTTAGGGTGGTGAATGTTTATGGTTTAATGGCAAAATCTTGCTCATTTGCCCTCCGATACAGCAAAGCTGATGCTTCCACCCTGGTTCATAACGGAAAAGAAAGGGCAAAAAACATGTCAAATTCCAAAATCCAAGGAAATGAAAAATAAACAAATAAATAAGCAAAGGTCTAATCTCTCACCAGCCAGGATGGACCACATATTTTCCAGAAGAAAGAGCCCAATTCACCTGATCAAAACAATTAATGTCATGCCTCAACTAAAAAGAAAGCAGAACAGGGGGAAGAAGGGAAAACACTGAAATAATATTTCTAAATAGTTCCTTTTTTTCTTCTTTCCCAATTCACCTGATCAAAACAATTAATGTCATGCCTCAACTCGAAAGAAAGCAGAACAGGGGGAAGAAGGGAAAACACTGAAATAATATTTCTAAATAGTTCCTTTTTTTTTTTCTTTTTCTTTCCCTTTTTAGGGTTTTTTGGGAAGAGGCAACGTAGTTTTGGGTTATTCTTCTCTCTCTCTCTCTTTCTTTCTTTCTTTCTTTCTTTCAGTTATCGACAGTGAGGCTCGGTATACCTCACATAAGATATCTAAATAATCCCCTTAAATAATATTTCAACTCTTAGTAGTTGGTTCCAAAGGCAGAGCTTATGAGAAACAGTACCTTGTCCGTCCCAAGGGAATTGGCAACTACATGGGTGACCTGGTCATCTATCTGGTTGGTACACACAGCACCAAACTGCTCAGCTGTCTGCCACAGAGGATGTAGGTGAGGTTTGACCTCACCAACTGGAAAGACCCTGCTAAATACTATACGACATCCGGCCAAAATCTTCCGTTGCTCAGAGGCTAGAATATTTCTAACATCTGCTTCATCTAGGGAGGAATGGGAGAAAAAGAGCTGATGTATCTTCTCAATAACCTATAGCCAAAACAACAGATAATTATGTATCCTCTTAAAAAACCAAGAGAAGAAAATGAACAGATAATCAAGCAGAAAGATGTCCAATTATTTGCAATCTCAAAGAGTTTAACAGCATCCTCACCGCCAATGAGGATGCCAAAGTCCCATCTTCTTGTCTCTCATCATGATCAATCTCAAGAAGAGAAGGACCTAGAAGGCCAAATTGTCGTCTGCTACAAGGAAAGTAGGTATACCTGCAAAATAACAATACATAAGCACTGGGTAACAAGGAAAGCAGGCCAATCAAAACACAAAGACAGTAAAGTTTATATCATAAATCAAGGAATGCTTACCGTTCTACAACTATCAAGTTCAGTTTGTTATGTGGCCAGACCCTCACAGAATCATCTATAATTACAACAGCTGATTCCATACCCAAAACTCCTTCAAGATCCTTACTCTTGGGAACCCTCTCATCACCATCTTCAGGATCCCCATCATCGCCTCTAGAAATAACTCGTCCAGCAAAAAGGGCCCCGGTTGGATCTAGCACTTTTGCCATTTCCGTAGCATATAGCTTGTTCCCCATTGTGTAAAGATGCAACTCAAAAAGTTGACTAGCCTGATGTCCAAAGAGGCAACGCAATGATTGCTCCACTTTCAAATAAACCATAAAATCATAATTTATGTCAGCATAAAATTATATTCAAAATTACCTTCTCTAAAAAATTCCAGATCCCAGGCCGCAATTTGGTCCACATTCCCATATGATGAAATCGGAAGAGATGTCGCTGTGGTTTTTCACGATCCTGTTCTTCTTTCTTTCTCAAAATCTCATCATGTACTGGATCTACTTCAACAAACTGAAAAGGATAGACTAAGTTATAACAAAATTATAGAGGAAATATCCCTTTAGAATAACAGGCCACAAAAGACCAACTCCATACATCAACAAGACACTACCTTAGCTGAATTAAGAAGTGTATGATCTAGATCTAGGACAAGGCAGAGCTTGTGTGCTGCAAACATTTTCTTCTGTTCTTCTATCCTCCTTGCTCTCTCTCTCTGGATTGCAGCTTTTTGCTGGTCATCATATCCTTCAAACAGATGTTCAACATCTCCCCACATGACCGGTGAACGAGAGGGACCTGCTGCAGCTGCTTCAGAAGCAGAAATACTTTCCGGACGCTGCTCCTCAGCTTTCAGATCTATTCTCTCTGGCTTGATTGGAACTGGTTGGGAAGAAACACCCTGAGAAGCTATTGCTGGACTTGTTGATACATTAGAAACAGACATAATATCAGCAATATTTTTCAGATTCTTTGTGAATTGACGAGTAATGTCAGGGGCATCTAATGATTGTGCAGTCACTAGCTTCTTATCCGCCTGACCATTCAGATTATCCTTATTCCCCTGGATGCTCGACAATGGGGGTACAATATTTCTGAACTGCTCATGTCCCAAACTCCCACTCTTTTGAAGTGCATTACCATGGAGAGCACGGCGAGGGTCGCGGGGTTTCATGCGGACTTTTCCGGACTCATCCTGCAAAAGTTGTAAATTATTAAAAATGTGAGGAGTTTCTGCATTACTTGTAATGGGACTCATGAATAAATATAGCAAACAAAGAAATCTAACAAACCTCCCACAGAAAAAAAATAAAAATAAAAATTTACAAAATGAAACTAAAATAACGGAATTTGGGTTTACTGCTGAAGAAATTACTCTAAAAATCATATCTATCGAGTTAAAACAAAGGAAACTGGAATAATCAAAGAGATCATCAAAAGTAGGAAAAAATTGCAAAGGAAGCACATGCTTAGCTCAATCTAGCTGGGAAAAGGGATATAACTAAGTACTCACCATGAGAGCTTTTTGTGAACTAACGGGAAGTGTTCCTTCAGGTGTCTGCAAAATCCCTGAGGTCTTTGAAGGAACATTCCCTAATGCAGTTGATACCAGTATTGAACTTGAGCTTGTAGGATGCGTCATACTTTTTGGAGGATCAGCAGACTTCTGCTGGGCTTCTGCAGCTAACCTTTGTTGTTGTCCCATCTTAAGTAAGTTTAACAGCATGGTTGGATTCACAACGATATCTTTTAATAATGCAGGCAGGGAAGCCGTGCTTGCACCCATCAACGACACATGCTCATTTGCACTGTTTGGGCCATTGGTGTTGCCATCAACAGTACTAGGACTACTTAAAACCTTAACCACTTTTCTGGGATCAATTTCTGCATTCTCCACAGTCTGGTTCTTGCTATTTAAATGAGGTCCAACGCCACCAATGTCCTCCAACCAGCCACCACTTCCAGAAGCAGTTTTTGCATCCCCAACAATCCCTGAGTTTTCCAATGCATTCCTTTGCCTTTTTAATGCAGGACCATCAAATCTAGACTCCTCCGGGGGTTTTTGCTTTCTTGAGCTTAACGTTATAACAGAATCCACTTTAGGTGCACTATGCACTACTGTCGAGGGTTGTTGGTTAAGATTCAAGGCACCCATATCAGAATTGGCAAATCGAAGCCTCGGGTCTCTACTCTTAGCTGAAGCTTTTATG